TCCAGAAACACTTAAGCACTTGTCTTTAGCCCTTAAGCAGTTGTCTTCAACTGGGGTGGGGTGTTCTCTTCCACTGAAGGCTCTGGCCCAGCCACATGTGGGAGTAACTGGCTCTATGGAGCAGACTGGGTTCACTGTATGAACACAAAGGGGGTCAAGGGCTCACTGCGGGGGGCTGCCCCCCAGCTGGAGTGGCTTTTACTTTTTATTTTAAAGATTTATTTATACAAGAACCGGGGTACAGGCCAGATGCATGGGACGGTGAGAGGATTCACCAGAGACAGAGTGGGGAACAGAACAGGCAGATGTACTGAAATACACTGCTGAGGGGAGCAGCAGGCGCGACAAGAGAAGCCTGTGGCACCATGTGGGCTCCTCACCGGCCGGCCGGGATCGAACCAGCGCTGCTGAGGCTGCAGACAGCTTCAGAGTGCTGCACTCAACCGCCTGCACCACCACTTTTAACAACTTTTATTGCTACCTCAAGAACTCACATTTTCATTGTTTTTTCAAAGTTTCCCTATGTCCCAAAAATGACAGGCTAATAAGAAAAGCAACATCCAACTTCATAATGAAAAACAGTGGGATGGTTTTCCCTCCGGTTCTAGAGGACAAACAGATACTAAGGCAGGGGTTGGGTTGGGGATGGGTTTATATCCACGTCAGTACACCAGCAGGCTCCCCATGCAGGTGTCCTCACAGGTATGGGGGGAGGGCTCTTGTTCACAGAACCTCAGCCACCTGGAAGTGCACCCAGAAGGGGGGCTTTGACACCTGGAAGTTGGCTCAAATTCATCCCAGAGTAGAAACCGCATGAGCAGCATGTTCCTTCAGCATTTCCCAAAGCCGAAGTAGACTGGACTAGAGGCCACAGAGAAACCCCTGTCCATACTATTGGGTGAGGAGAGGATGTCGGGCTTTTCTGCCCTCCCACCATTGGGGTGGATGACGGAGCCCTGTGGTCCTGAATGCATGCCTGATGGTGGGCACCTGGAGTAGGGTGTGGGCCTATGTAGATGGGATTCACCTGGGCTAAGACTGTGCTTTTGGGGGCGGCGTCGCGGGGACGCCAGCAGAAGCCCAAAGAGAAGCCAAGAACGAACGGAAGCCGAGAGAAGAAGAAGAGAAGCAGAGAGAACGCCAGAGAGAGCCCAGACAGAGTGAAGACTTGCTGGGGGCTGGGAGGCCTGCCAGCCTCCCGGCCCCCCAGCACCCCTGCCTGCCATGTGCCTGGTAAATCTCAATAAAAGACCTGCAAAAAACCACTGAGGACTCTGACTCCTCCTTTACCCAGTCTGGTGGATCAGAAAACCTGCTCAGTAGCCCATTCCTGCCCCTACACATACCCAGGGCACCCCCCAGCACGACTGCCATCTCAGTAGAAAGATGAGGACCCCACAGTGGAGTACGAATGCCTGAGGTGTCTGAAAGCCAAGTGTCCCTCCTTCTAATTCACCATGCAGACTGTTTAAATGAACTCAATAGGTTTAAGAATATCTGAGCCCCTGTAAATCAACCTCATTCCTGCTGCCCACAACACAGGTACTCCCTGGTCTAGTCAGCTGGAGCCCTCTCTGGCAGCACCCCACTGCAATCCCTGAGAGTTTGTTCTAATCCTTTCATCACAACATCGCCATCTTGATCTACCTCTTGCTCAGACAAGTCATTAGTATTTCCAGGCTCCCTTCTCTGTAAGATGGGAAGGATGTCTTCATAGGGCAGTTTGGCGGACTAGCCACGAATAGCGTAATCTGAAGCAGGTTTCCACTTAGAGTTCCAGTGGCCACTCAATAAACGCCAGTAAAAACTCCCCTAACAAGGGACAGGGGACTACAGAGGACTGTGGTGATGGTGCACGGATGCCGTGGGGAAGGAAATTCTATGGGGACTCAATCTGAGGGGGTGGGGGGAAGCAAATATTGATTAAAAATAAAAATAAATAAATAAAAACTCCCCCAACAGCCAAGGACAGAGAAGGGGACATGGCAGGCACTCAAGTGACTTACAGGCTTGACAATAAAACTACCAGAAATCCCTGGAGGAGAAAGACACCTCTGTCATTCTGTTGCTGGTTCTCTGGTCTATGAAAAGAGAACCAAGCAAATACTAGACTTGAGGCAGAACTACAGTGATCAGGACATTCTTGCTTGGTATAGATATGACCTGAAAAGATTCTAATTTTTTGAATCAAAAGAAAAGTCCATAAAAAGAACCCCAAAGGGTGGAAAATAAAAAGGAAAGGGAATGAATTTTGTTGGCTTCTACCTAAATCTTAATTTCCTGCTTTAGCAAGATGACTCCTATGATACTTAAAGGAGAAGCTAAAATCTGACACGGAATTTCCCATGCCCAAGTATAGTTCTCACAACTATTTAGTGAGTTTACATTTTCTCCATTTTAGAGCTGAAGAAAATGAGAGTAAATAAAGCATATGTCTTACCCCAAGCCAGAGAGCTGGGAATCAAGCTTAAGGCCACCTAAGATCAAAATCCACAGCCCTCCATTTCATCAGCAGGAAAAATCAGGCAGATGGCTGATGGCTGGGCATGTCTCTGCCACCCTTGCTCACCAGCTTTTCCAGAAGGAATTTGCTTTTGCCTGATAGATTTCTGGAGTAACCACATTTTGTTTTGGGGAAAAAAGGTAGCCACCAATACAAACCCAAGTATTTAACAACTGTATAAGTCCATACTTTACAATCGTCCTGCATCCCGAAGTGAAAATAGAGGCTCACCTATTTTCCCTTCCTGCTTTCAAGCTTTTCCTCTTTGCTAAGAGAGGTCGCTGATTATTTTCCCAAGGTCCAAAAACTTCTAGTTAGATGTTTTCCCCCTAAATATCTTAGTGTACTAACCAACTTTTTCATATCCATATTTTTCCAAGATATCAGTAGTAGATGCTTTGTGGCCACTGACAAATATCAGAGTTCATGCCCCAGCAGGGTGGTGGCCGCTGCCTCTGTTTTTGGTGGCCAGTTCCTTCACTTTCTCCAGGGTGACTCCATCAACCTCAGCCTCTCACAACTCAAAGCAGTATGTGTAGCCCCTTTGTACGGTAAGTAAAGTATTAGACTTTTCTGCCCTCCTGCCATTGGGATTGATGATGGAACCCAGTGGTCCTGAATGCACGCCTGATGGCGGGCTTCTGGAGTAGGGTATGGGCATATGTAGGTGGGCACACCGGGCTGAAAGACTGAGCTTATAAGGGTAGCGTCATGGGGATGCCAGCAGAATGAAAGAGGGAAAGGAGCAGAGAAGCAAAGGCCACAAGAAAGCATCTCAGAGCCCAGAGAGAGAGAAGACTTGCTGGGGGCTAGGAGGCCTACCAGCCTCCCGGCCCCCTGGCACCCCTGCCTGCCTGCCGTGTACCTAGTAGAGCCCAATAAAAGCCTGCAAGAAGAGGACTCCTCCTTCACCCATTTGCTTGATCATAGAGATCCTGCCCTGTGGCCTTCCTGCCTCTACACCCTTCTTAATCTTTAATAAATCACTCCATGCATCTGCTTCTTCATATTCCAGCCTCTTCCCAGGGCAGGAAACCACCTCCCACAAATGAAAAGACCATTCAGGAACACATCTTTACCTCAAAATCTTTGACACATGTCTTTACATTTTCTTTAGCTACATATAACTCAGGCAATTCAGGATTTTGTCAGAAGGGCCTGAAGTTTCCAAAGCCTTCTCACAAAATTCACATAGCCACCCTGACAGAAACATGGCCTTTAGGCACAAATTAAGGCACATCTATTTAACAAGCCCATTCTTCATTCTCTACCCATCCCCCATTGCATTAAATCTTCCATAATTAGTAACAGCCAACACCACTTATCAAGAACCAAGTAGTTCGGACATTAACTACATGCATAATCTCATTTAATCCTCTTGACAAATTTAGGGGAAATTTAGGGGAAATAAGTCATCTCTGATCACCCAGTAGGCGTGGGGCGAGAGTTCAGACCTAAGTCTGACGGCGCTGTCCCACTAATCATTACATAATGCCACGTTAGTCACACAGTAGTTTTTCCCCTCACTAAATAAGCACTTCAAGAATTTCCTGTAGATTAATACCACAGTAGAAGAACCCACAAGGCCCTCTTAGTAGGTCGACATGCTTTTTAACACAAAAGAGAATGGCCAACAGAAAGACTGAAGGAAAAAAAAATTTAAAAAGAGAGGAAGTCCTGAAGAATGCTTTCACCTCTGACCTCTTTCCTCCTACTAGAGGTCAGATAAGCAGTCCCTGGAACAAATGGAATGAATCTGTGGTCTGTATCCCAGTCCCATGTTTATACCCCTGACTGGAAAGACAGAGCTGACATGACAAGTCTCAAATAAGAGGAGGCGACAGGCCTGCCTCCGCGTTGATTAACCACTGCCTCCTGTAGGCATTGCTCGCCTGGCCTCACTCTGGCCAGTGAGTCATGAAATGAGGGAAGTCTCCAGGGAGGTGAATACCACAGCTGCACAGCCATGAACCAGAAATGACAAGACACAGGTGGTTAGCGTTTTTCTTTCCCAGTGGGCTCTCCTCTCCCTCGCAACACTAATGTGCATCTAACCAAGGGGAGTACCCGGGATGTCCCATAACCACGGAAGAATCTGGAATGTTCATCTAAGCCAGCGCAACCAGCCACTTAAAACTAAGGCTGTAACCCCACCCCCCATCGCCACAGTAATGTGTATAAAGCCTCAAAACTGTTTACCTTTGCTGAACTTTCAGACTGAAATACTTCATTACACTTGAGAGGGTAACTGGCACGAGCAACCCAGCTCTTCCCCCATCACTTCATGAGGCCCATTTTTAAAAAAACATTATTAATGGTCAAGAGACTGCAAATGAAATTTGCCTGCCAAGATTTACTTGGCAAAGGAAAGATACTCTATCTCCTGAAATATGGGTTTAAAATCAGCTCCAATCTTCCCGTTGCTAAACTTTTCATCTACTTGCCAGAGAGATCAGCATTTAAAAAATTTTAGCACCCCATTGTCTAACCCACTTACCCTCAGTGTTGGAACCGATGCCATCAGTGCGACCCAGAGGTGGAGGGTGACCTGGCACAGGGTAGTTTGGAAGAACTGACTCTCCTTCAGGACGGGCTGGAGGAACTCCCACTTCTGAGGGCAGTGCCCTTCCGTATGGGTAGGACTGGATGCTTGTGTTTTCAGCATAGGATGGTGGGGTTTCCTGGGGTGGATCCAGTGAAACCCTTTCTATCTCTGATGGAGCCAATCTTCTGATCCCTGGCTGTTTAGAAGTCTCAGCTTGGCCTTTAGATTCTGAGGCATATATCTCCTCCACAGGTCTCCCCTCTTTGGTTCGAGGGTCCAAGATAGTGGACTGTGTTTCAGGGTAGAATGGCCACTCACTCGGTGTTAAATGTGGCAAAGGGGAGGCCAGATCAGAACCTGAGGGAGAGATCCCACCTCCTGTAGGCCTTGAATCAGTTTTGGGATGGAAGGAAACATCAATACTGCCATGGCCATTTGATGTCTCATCTGGGTCACTCGGGGGGTATTCAACTTCCTCCTCATTCTCATCATAATAATCCAAATTGTCCTCAGTGTAGTCCCTTTCTAGGGCTGCAGCATGGCTGATGAAATGATCTGGGGGAGCTGAAGAGGAGGCTTTGGAAAGATCTCCAACTGTTGCAGGCCTGACATTTTCCAGTGGGGAGGTGCTGCCTATATGAAAAGCCCACACTCCAGGAATCCCCAGGTTACTGAGTCTAAATTAAAAGGAAACAATGACTTGTAACAAAATTGTCCATTCCTATATCCACTTCCTATAACGAGCAATTTATTTTAAAACTGAAAGACTATAAAGATCAGATTCAGTTTTTAACTTGAATATTAAACCAAATAAAAACAGACTTAACATGATAATTGAAAGGATTATACTGGAATTTTAATGTAAAATACCTTATTTAACAATAGGTTTCAAAGATTGTGTGTGTCCATAGAATACTAGACCATCAAGTCAGAAATCTACTGTATAACCCACATGCTTATTTAAAACCTGGCTATTTGAAAATAAATAGAATGTGGGAATATTTTATTCTACCTCTACTTTTAATGTAAGAAAACAATGCTTAAAAATCTTTGTCAAACAGGGCCTCCCCTGGTGGCGCAGCGGTTGAGCGCTGGGCTGCGAGGCTGCCCGCAGTCTCTGCAGCACCAGTTCCTTTCCCCGGCCGCCAGCGAAGGTCCCACAAAAAAAAAAAAAAACTTTGTCAAACAGTTAAATAACAACACTACAGGCTCTTGGGAATAAGTTACATGGCAGTCAGTAAGCCAAGTACTTACCTTCAATGCAGTCTGCAAGATATGAGCACTGACTCAATTTTATAGAGAAAGTAGGTTTAGAGAGGCTAGCCAATTTTCCTAGGGTCACACTACTGGTAATTAAGAGAGCTTGGGCTGGAATTCAGAACCAATAGTAAGTCCATGCACTAAACATCTACCTCATATTATGTCAAAAAGTTCATACTGTATCATATTATGTCACTATACCTCATCAGCATCTGAATTATCATTAGTTCACAGAATGTTACAGACATTTCACATTTAGCCACACATATTAATTAATTCACAGAGAATGATGAGTCAATACAAAAAATTCAAAGAAATCTAAATGTCCAAGTCTAAAAAATGTTGAGCAAGGGCCTCCCCTGGAGGTGCAGGCGGTTGAGTGCAGCGCTGTGAAGCTGTTCATAGACTCTGCAGCATGCGTTCAATCCCGGCAGGCCAGCGAAAATCCCACATGGCGCAGCAGACCTCTCCTGTCTCACCCGCTGCTCCCCTCAGCAGTGTATTTCAGTCAGTCTGTCTGTTCTGTTCCCCACTCTGTCTCTGGTGAATCCTCTCACCCTCCCACGCATCTGGCCTGTACCCTGGTTCTTGTATGCACTATAAATAATATTTAAATAATAATAATAATAATAAAGTAAGATTCCCTAAAAAAATGTTGAGCAAAGGCATAAAAAAGTTAAGAGGAAAATAACAGCTTAATGAAAATGACCTAAGTCATAGGTGAGAGGTGTTTAGAAATATCCGGAACCAGAGAGTTGAGTTGTCTTCTCTACTAGAACAGAAAATGGACACCATTCATTCTTCCAAATATCCTAGTGATCCATTATTTTAAAGTCAATGGTATATTCTGAAGAGAGCATTTAGAAATAAATGCTTATTTAGAAATAAAATATTTCTAAAAAATAGGGGAAAAAAACTTGAACAAACAAGGCTCTGGCTAGCTTGAAACACCAGTTGGTGTACTTCTCTGGATTATGCCCAAAATATCAGGATGAAAGTTTCCTATGCTACAGAGGATCTCCTTATAAGTCGGTCAATAAGGAACATTTATATGAAATCACAAAAGACTCAGAATAGCCAAAGTAATCTTGACAAAAAACAAAGCTGGAAGCCTCACACTTTCTGGTTTTAAACTATATTACAAACTACAGTAATCAAAACAGTATGATATTGTCATGAAAAATAGACATATAAATCAATGGAACAGAATAGAGAACCCAGAAATAACCCACAAACATATATGGTCAATTAATTTACAACAAAGGATTCAAGAATATACAATAAGGAAAGGACAGTCTTTTCACTAAACAGTGCTGGGAAAAGGGGACAGACACATATAAAAGAATGAAAACGGAATACTCTTACACCATACTGAAAAACTAATTCAAAATGGATAAAAGCCTTGAACCTAAGACCTGATACCACAAAAATCCTGGAAGAAAGCAAAGGCAGTAAAGTCCCTGGTATCAAGATCTGACTCCAAAAGTAAAAATAAACAAGTAAGACTACATCCAACTAAAAACAAAAGAAATAATCAATAAAATGAAAGAACTTTGAAAGGGCATTTATTGATTATTTCTTTACTATGCAGAAGATTTTAGTTCATATCTGATCACTGGTGAATACCCAAAATATATAAAGAACTTATATAGCTCAATAGTAAAAAGGCAACCAATCTGGGCAGTGGACATGAACAGGTATTCCTCCAAAGAAGACATATGGCCAACAGGTACATGAACAGATGTTCAACATCACTCATCAGGGAAATGCAAATCAAAACCATAATGAAATATCATCTCACACTTATCAGAATTAGTATTATAAAAAAGAAAACAAATATGTGGATGTAGAGAAAAGGGACCCTTCTGTAGTGTTGGTAGGAATGTTAACTGGTGCAGTCACTATGGAAAACAGTCCAGAGAGTCCTCAAAAAATTATCAATAGAGCTAGTATATGATCTAGCAATTCCAATTCTGGATAATTATCTGAAGAAACAAAAACACTAATTCAAAAAGATACAGGTAATTCCATGTTCATTGCTGCATTATTTATAACAGTCAAGTATAGAAATAACCTAAGTCCACTGATGAATGGATAACAAAAATGTGGTATGTATTTACTCATATATGTATATAACATATATGAAATAATATTATTCAATCATAAAAAAGAAGGGACTCTTGCCAACTTGGATGGAGACTGAGGGCATTATGCTAAGTGAAATAAGTGAGATAGAGAAAAAGACAAAAACTGTATGGTCTCACTTATAGATGGAATCTTTAAAAAATTAACAAAAGCTCCTAGATACAGAGAATAGAGTGGTGGCTCCCAGAGAATGGGAGCTAAGGGGAAGGGGAGTGTGAGTGAAATGGATGGAGGATAAAAAGGTACAAACTTCCAGTTCTAAAATAAATAAATCTTAGCGATTAGTACAGCATGGTGACTACAGTTAGTAATTCAATATTGTACATTTGAAAGATGCAAAAGAGTAGATCTTGAAAGTTCTTATCACAAATAAAAAATTATAATTGTCTATGATGGATGTTAACTGGATTTCCACTGATCATTTTACAATATTTACAAATGCTGAATATTGTACAACTGCTATTTATGTCTATAACTAAATCAAAAAAGGGAGAAATCAGCCAATATGGTATTTGCGTTAATGACTCCATATAAAAATAAGAGACCTTTGTTCATTTAGGTAGGTACTTTTCACGTTCAGATGGGATTCTACAGCAATATTTTTCAATACAATTCTGAGAACACCTCTCTCCTTCTCCCTCCTCCTCTGTCCCCCTCTCTGGTGTGCACGGACATGTGTATGTGTATGTGTGTTGTGGGTGTGGTGCTGCTGCTGCTACAATTAATTTAGGAAAAGAGGAGCAAAGAAAGCAAAATTTGTAATCCTCTGAACAATATATTATGTATACTTGGCAAGCTGGTGCTTTCTGGCAAGCAAATAACGAACACTAAAGAAGGTAGGAGAGAATCCTAACGATCTGAAGATACTGAGTTTACTATCACATCGGAGGTGTTGCAACTGTGAGATTTCTTCTTGCAGTTAGAGACAGAAAACAATAAGCTTCAAAGAGCAGGAAAATACAAATTACAGCAGATAAAAACTAAATAAAACAACCTAATTAAATCACTGTCTTTGCTTTTGTCATTGTACATACTTGGGAAATAACAAATCTGAGTTTTATCCTAAAATCCAAGGTCATTTGGAAAGCTGAGGGATAGAAAAAACTTATTTCCCAGAAAGGAAAACAAGGCTACAAGATAGGGTGACAGTGACTTCCTCCCTGTGCTTTTAGGAAGATGAAGTGAGAAAACCACATAAAATGCCTAGCACGGGGTCCTAGACATTAGCACTTAGTATTTTCTAGGTAGCAGAAAAGTACAATCTGAAAAGATGCGAATCTGTGTATTTATATTTAAATCTGCCAAATAGTTACACCAAAGGCTGTAAGCTACATAATGTATGACCTTTGAGTTTATAATTATGAGACAAATTTGCAGGAGACAAAGATTCTATTGACCAGGAAAATAACTTTATTCTTTAGAAATGCATACTGAAGCATTTAGGAGTTAGTGGCATGAAGCTTAGAATTTACCTTAATACTTAAGCAAAAAAAAAAAAAAAAAAGATGAATATGGCAAAACACTGACAACTTACAAATCTAGGGGACAAGCATTTGGGTGTTCATTTAGTTATTTCCTCTACTTTTCTGTATATTTTTGAAATTAAAGTAATGAAAGTAAAATAGAATTAACTTAAAGAACATTTCTGTGATTTCAAGGTAAAGAAGACTTTTCTAAAAAGAATAGTAAGGCCTGAAATCACAAAAGAGACCAAAAACTGACAACTCTAAAGTTAAAACTCTTAGATTATAGGAAACTCTAAAGATGAGCAAGTGAATAAAAATATTCAAAACAGATGAGGGGATAAATATCCTTACTGTATTATTTTCTTATTTTATAAGAGCTCTTTGTACAACCCTATTAGAAAATAGCAAAGGATGTAGAAAGTCACAAAAAAAACAGAGAAATGACCATTAAATATACAAAAAGGTGTTCAGTTTTACTAGTAGTTAAAGAAGTTAGAGTGAAAATATCAACATTTTATACCAGATTCACAAATATTAAAAAAAATAGAAGTTGCAGGAAACAGATATTGTCAGTATTGGCTCAATATGACTGGTGAGGATTTAAGTTGAGATGTTTGTTAAGGGCAATTTGTTAATATATGTTAAAATGCTGAAGTGCATATATCCTTCCTCAGCAATTTTACTTTTAAGAATTTACTTTTGAAATAAATGAGAATCTGAGCAACATTATGCTGTTTACTGCAACAAAATAACAGGAAAAATCCCACTGTTAGTTATTTTGCCATAATTTTTCTACTTCCATCAGCAACTCAGAGGTGTCTGGGAAGCATCAAAAATAAAGTGACAGGAGGTAATGGAAGTTCTGTGTGTGTGTGTGTGTGTGTGTGTGTATGGGGCGGGGTGGATCTTAGGGACCTTACAGGTTTTTGCCACCACCATGTCGTGCACCCTGTGTAGATATTAGCACTTATTCCAATGCTCTGAAATTGTTGATCTATTTGTCTACCCTACTAGAATGCAATTCACTATTGTATAGGTCTTGTGCCTCAGTCATCTTTTCTTCCAAGTGTATGGCCCACTGTGAGCTCTTGACAATGTCTGAAGAGTAGAAAATCTGCGGACTTCACAGAAGAGGCTGAAACCAAGAGAGAGGGAGAAAGAAGCTAAATTTTCTTCAGAGTCTGGATTAAAAGGCAGCCTAGCTGGAAATCTAAAGAGGTCCAATATGGGTCATAAGAATGGGGAAGGATGGCCAGTCCTGGTGTCTGAGTGATTCCAGGGCCCAGCAAAGGAACCAAGTTTCCAGAGTCCTGAAAATAACAGGCAATACCCCAAAATATGGACTCATTTTCCATTCCACCAAACAGCTGCCAAGAACAAAGGTCACATCTTCCAGCCTTGGCAAATGATTGCAGTATTGCCTTGTCTCTGAGGTACCCACAGATATATCTAGGGAGAAGCTTTGAGAACAGTTGAGAAGTAGCTGTCCTATGAGTCTGGAGAGATTCTATGAAAGAGTATGATGTCATAAAGAAGGCAATAGTTCAGACAGAGAAAATGGCTGCTGAAACTACTAAGAAGTTGGAGAAACAGGAGATGCTTAAAGAAGGAAAAGAAATGGCTGCTGCAGTGGCCCTCACATCTTCAGGAAACAGCAGCCACACTCCTGAAAAGCATGAGGAGACAAATCAAAGACCCTAAAAGAAGAAAAACCAAAGCGCAGGAGATATCTAAGAAGAATGAAATGGAATGGCAGACTCACCTGTCTCTCTTTCCACACCCAAGAAAAAGAAAATTTTTTCCAAGGAGAGTTAGTAATGACCTTGAAGAGACAATTGGCAGTGGAAGTCTTCCCAAGAGGAAGAAAGCTTTCCTCAAAGAGGAACCAGTGAGTGATCAGGAAAAGGCAGGAACAGATTTGTCTCTAAGAAAAAGGAAATTCTCTTTCAAGGAGGAGTAACTCAGCTGCAGACCTGGAAAGGCTGTTGACAGCAAGAGTGGAGTGACAGCTCTAAGAAAAAGTTCCTAAAACTCTCCCATGATGATTAGAAAGGAAAATTCCCTTATAGGCTTACCCCATGGTGACAAAAAAAAAAAAAAAAAAAAAAAGCAGCACTTACCTTCAAGAATTCTGTGAGTTATAATTAAGGTAAGTTCTAGAAGTGTTTAGCACTATGTTTGGCAAGCACTTAGTTCTTGATACATGTCAGCTCTGCATAACCTTATCTGGCTATAGGGTTAGCTCTGGTAGCTGAGCAGAGTAGACATGCAAACATGCAGGGTGTTCCAGTACCCAGGAGCAATGTAATGACACAGAAGCAGTTGAGAAAGACTAAGTATCCACTGCATTCTGTCTGATTTCTAGGCCTGTGTTCACAAAAGGAATAAAAGCAAAGATATTCTCTAATATTCACCCCAGATACTGGTGTGAGGTGGCCTGTCAAAACACAAAGGGGCTTGTTATTGCACTGGGAGAGCAAGCCACTTGTGGGACCAGGCTTGTGCTCAGTCTGGCTACCTCATGGGGAACCAGTCAGTGTGAGTTCTGATCATGGAGCAATAGAGAAATCCTGAAACTTCCAAAATTTTACCAATTGGTTTGATTTTTTTTCTCAAATGGCACTACTCCTAATTTAACTTTAAATACATTATCTGTCTAAAGACTAAATCCCATCATCACCTCTTATGACGACATTAACCTGGAAAAAACTCAACATGGGTAGTTATATTACTGGATATTTTTATGTGGTTCCAAGACCAATGTTTTCCACAGCAAGCCTCAGTGGCTCTACAAACACACACACATACACTCACACACACACAATTCTGTTTCCTGTATCTATACCAAATTGGGCAGGAAAAATAAAGGACCTTTATATTTTGGTGAACTTGCTCTTCCCAGGGTCTAAAAGAGTTCCTGGTTCTGACCTGATGCCTTCCTTGTAAGTCACCATGATAGTATTTAATGGGGCTCAGAGCCTCTAAAGTTTGAATAACTCCTTAGGGTCCTCACATCCCAACAGAAAAGGGCCTAAACCCTATGTTACTTACTGGTAAAGATTTTTCACAGACTGTTCTGTGCTAGTCAAGCTGAAATAAGGTCCCTCTCGCTTCAGGTCATCAGCCTCCCCTCGGCAGAAGCCCACCCGGGCTGGAAGCTCAAGCTGGACATTGTACGATTCTTTGGGACGCGTTCCGAAGAACTGAAGACCATTGGCAGGATAAAGAAAGAGGGCGTAGGTATCAGACCCATCAGATACCAAAACTGCCTGGAAAGTATTCAGCTGTGAAAAGAAATAAAGGAAACATTCTCAATAAAACAAAGAAAAACAAAACAGAATGCAAGCAAGGCATCATAAAGTACAAAAGGGTTCCCCCTTCTTAACATTTCTCTGGATTGTTTTTATACATAATATTCTTTGCAATTTCTTCCTTAGGTTACACTTTTATAAGCTATGTTATCACTGTAATCGTTTTCTCCATTTAGATTAATATGCAACACTAAAAAAACAAAGGTTTAAAAAATTCATTCATTCATTAATCCCTGTGTACATTAATTCATATAGTCAGGGGTCCACGAAGTACTCGGCATGATGCTAGTGGTAAGGAAGGAGAGGATGGGACACTGCCCAGAAAGCCAGCTTAGGACAGGCAAACAGCCACCACCTGAACTGTAGAAGTGACTGAGGTGGTGGCAGAGGCCACGGAGGAGGGTGTGTGCCCAAGTCCTCAGGGTTGGGGTGAGGAGGCGTCATTGAGGCGGCCTGTGAACACTAATAAACACAGCAGGAGCCAGAGCAGACCTGAGAGAGACACCAGGAGCCTGGATTAGCCACAAACTCAACACCCAGGTCCCCAGAGACTCACTCCTTAAAGTTTAATTTGTGCTGTAGTTTCAAAAGGATACTTTTTTGCCTTAACCTATAACCAGGTATCTTTTTTTCCCTCTAAACTGATTTGTTCATGGGACTTGACAATCTTAAAAAGATGTTCTATATCAGACTCAGAACATCTCCCTCATGAAAACCCACTCCTTTTCTAATTTAGTGGGGGACTAGGGAGGTTGTTTGTTTTAAATAATGTGACTCTTAGAAATATTATTTGCTAGTAAGCAGCCTCATTTCCCATTTTGCTAGCGAAATAAAATCAGGCACAGAAAAGAACATCACATTTTACTAAAGAAAACAGCAACCTAGAGGAATGTGCCCTGAACTGTGTTCTGTCCTGGGTCTCCCTCCATTTGGTACTCAAGCTCCATCTGCAAGTTAATTCTTCCTTTCAGTGTTTAACTTCAGTGCTTTGAGCTTCTGCATATAAGATAAAGGCACTCAGATGTTAAGATAATTTTCAAGAAAGACACCTTGCCTCCTTTGTTTCAGTTTGCTCCCTTTAAGTTAACAAACTTAAAGACAGGGGTCCTGTATTTGTTATTGTTGTAGCTGTTGATTGTTTCATCCACAAAGCTTGACTTTTCAAAAACAAAAGGCAAGGGATATTTTCTAGAATTCCTCCAAGTTAGGAAGTGATAACTTCTGCCAAGTGTAAACAAGGCTGTTCTGCCTCAGTCCATACGTAATATATACCACATCATCCATTCATGTTGATTCAATCACTTCAGAGTTTAACTAAGTCAAAAGACATAAAGTTCCACTAGGGAAAGAAAATACAGGAGGACGAAGAAGGGCCCTGTTTTAAAGAGCTAAGCTTTCAAAACTCCTGGCACTGATTACCTACAATAATGTCAGATAGGAAAAAACCCTGGTTCTAAGTTTAGAGAAAATCTATAGATAAGGGAGGCCTATAGATTGTGAAGGAGTTGAAGGGGGTTGGGGAGGAGGCAGGGAAAGTAAACAGCTGTGAAGGGGAAAGTCTGGTCTTTACTATGGGGTCTGGGTGTTTAGCACTTTATTTTATTCATTCTTTCAGTCAGTCAACAAATTCACTTCAATAAAAACATATTCAATGTCTTTTATATGTCTGAGACAGGCACTCCTTATAGTTGGTAACCATTTGGTCTCCTTGTCTCCACTGCAACAGGCAAATAAGAGAATCTTAAATAGAATTTAGAATCCCAAAGCAAAAGGCAAAGGAATCTGGCTGTTCAAAAACCACCCACATGCCAAATGATAACTTGTAAAGTTCTCTCCAAATTCTGCATGTGGTCGCTAAAGAGCCCACTTGGTGAAGTGCTGAAGGGCTCCTTCTCCCCAGCACTTCTTGACTGGCTTCCAGACCGGAAAGGTCTTCACATTCCTAGAGACAAGCCTTTGCAAGAACTGCACATGCTCTGCTTCTAAAGGGAAACCTCAGATGGGTTGCCAAACCCTACAAAAAAGGTCACCACTTCCCAACTCCCCCAGCATCCCAGAGAGAGAGAGGGGCCTCCACAGGAGGAGGAGCAGCAGCACAGAGAAGATCAGGGCCGGTGGGCAGCAGCTGCAAGGGCCCCCCTATCCTGTTATCAGAAAGAGAGAAAAGCCAGATCCCTTAGCAGAAACATCACCAGTCAGTGGTGCCCAGTCAGGCCCAGGGATATAAAACATGCCCCTCTACAGGTTTCTAATTTTTGCAATTCATTTAATTAATTTGAACTATCTGGCAAAAAATTAGATCAGTGCTATTCCTGTCGACAGGGGGTCTGCCTATGGTGACTTACAAAAATTACAATGAAAATTAAGAAATAGGGTCAGAGTTCTCTTTCCTGTCAGGGGACAGGAAACTAAGACGCTGCTTAGTTCCAGCAGCACTGATTTGTGGTTTCTATGTTAGTGTGAACACTAACTTCCATTCCTTAGGAGAAACCCCCAACTCGTGTTATTGAAAGCACCACTGTCACATATATGATTTGTCCTCGTTCGTTTTTCTGCCATAAATCCTATAGATCCTGCCAAAAATACAAAGCTTAGTTACCACATTCCTAATAATTTATCATTCATGACACTTAGTCTTTAGCAAAACTTCAGCATTTCTCTAACCAATTTTCATGTATGTCTGTTCTCCACATCATCATAGCTATATCTGAGACTCAGCTAAAATTCTTTCGGACAGATAGCAGACCTCCCTATTGCTGGACCTCAACTCCAAAAGTCAAAACAACAAAGTCTTGGTTTTACCTCTCATTTTCTCTGTGGCTCCAGGCCCCTCTGTCAAGGACAACCATCCTTTGGAACAAGTGCACGTGCCTCAGTTTCCCGAGGAGGGTTCCAGTGGGCAATCTTCCACTCATGTTGATGCCCCACAATTTCCTTCCTCCCTTAGCCTTCTCCTAAGACATATCTTAGCTCTGAACAATCTCTCCTGTTCTCAAGATCCATGTGTAATATATACTCTTTCAGCCCAACTGAAATTCCAGAGCAACAAAACATCACCCATACCACACAGAACTGTGTAGCCCAGTTCTCTAAAACCCCCATGCTTTGAACATCAGTAACAACAGAACAATACTTACTCCCCACCTCCACTGGACAATCATACAGCTAAAGTGAACAATAGTCCCTATTATATCTCCTGTCAATAAGTTCTTTGAAGGTCAATAACTATGACAATTCAAGGCATCTCAGATTAACTGAAGTGATAAATACTATGTTTTAATAGATGTTTTAAAATGTAGTTACACCTTGACATTCCTGCCATATCAAGTACAATATCTTGTTCACACCCACCATGAATATTCATGGAAAGAAAGGGCAACAACTGACATTTCTTTAGATGATAAAGATGCCATTTCTCTGATATCTTCAAATTTCCAGTAACTTTGCAACATAAAGTTGGTATGCCAAGGTTTAAGAAATTCATGCAGAACTCACACAGCCGTTCAAGCAAAATAAATTACTATTTGCCATAATCTATCTCCAAAGAACTATAAAAACAAGAACTCAAGTCACAGCACTCTTTAAAGGATTCAGAAGACCCTTCTTCAATGTGGGTAATTGGAAAAACATCTGCTCTACAACAGAATCCTCATCTCCTTTCTAAATGAAACAAATTCAGAAGCCAACTTAGCATATGGCAATGTCTGAAGAATGATTTTCATTAGGAAAGTAAAAGACAAATGGAATCTACAAATCTTCCCACACTCCCCTCAAAAGAAAAGGCCCACACAGCAATTGTAATTCAGAAAACTTTATATCTAAAGAGTCTTTATGCATCACAGCATCCTTACAAGACAGAAAGAAAAGAACCAGAATCTGGTCCTACCAAGGCAATGCAGGGTACACCAGGGATTCACACCCACTAAGTCGAAGATAATATGATGGCTACTTAAAAGGTCACTTTAGTTAATTCTCACAAAAATCCTGTAAAATAGCATTGTTATGCCATTTTACAGATTAAGAAATTAAAACTGAGGCTGGAGAGGCTCCCTGGTGACACAAGGGGTTAAAATGCAACCTATGAAGCTATCTGCAGCCACTGCAGCACAAGTTCAATCCCTGGCCGGGGAACAACCCACATGGTGCAGCAGACCTCTCCGGACTTGCCTGCTGCTCCCCTCAGCAGTGTATTTCAGTCAATCCGCCTGTTCTGTTCCCCACTCTGTCTCTGGTGAATCCTCTCATCCCCATACCTCTGCCTGTACCCCAGTTCTTCTATGCATAAGCAAATCTTTAAAAAATAATAATAAATAAAACTGAGACTGGGCCCTTGCTTCCAAAGTCACTTTTCCAAAATGTTTTAATAGCTGTTATCATCATCTGCACAAGCGCTCTGAAAGTGGGGTAAGGAAGGTATCATTCCCATGCTACAGCTGAAATTGAGAAAAATTATTTTAAAAGTCACTTTGCATTATAATTTTTGATTTCAAATAACCTGATAAAATTAGCATCTTAAGGTTCTAGTGTTATTTCATCATCCCAGAGCTTCTGTGCAACTAACTGCTCATCTCTCAGATTCATCTCATTCAGCTCAACTTTGTCTTCTTTTCTCTGTTGGAAAAGTAAAACAGATGCAGCTGAATTTTCTTCAGAGCATTGGAATACTAATTTTGAAGTAATAAGACATCAATAGTGTTCTTGGCATCAGATTCTACCACATTCATTCTCCTTTTAAATAAAATATGGTTTCAAGGATTCTTCTGGTATTAAGATCACATTGGGACAATAAAACTCAAGCCTGATTTATTGGAAATCTTTGGAAAAGACACAGTTATTGTGTGTACCGCTATCACCTGTGCCAAGGAAATGGGTCTTGCATGTAAAGTCTGAGTAAAAGCAACAACAGCAACAAAAAACTAAGAGTCAGGAAATCTGTATTCTAAACCTGACTTTGCCTCACTAAGAGCAGGATTCTAAACAATGACTTGGACTTCTATTTGCTATTATTTGTGAGATGAAAACAGTAAGTCTTGTCTAGGATTGTTGTATAAAGACAGTATAATAAAATAAAGAATTTGTAAGATAGCTTACATAAACAGTATAAGTAATAAATGTCCAAATAATAGTCTTTCCTTTGAGCCCAAACCTTCTCAATTGAGTCTAAAGGAGTTCCCTGGAAAAACTTCTACTTAAAATTCTTCAAAGGTTGCCAAAGAATGAGTCCAAACTCCTAGCAGAATCATGATCTTTCCCCCACCCCACAACCTTCCCAAACTCATGTTCTACCACGCTGCTTCTTTACTAGTAATGTGTCACATTAGGTGCCAAACACATTACACTGTATATAGCACATGGGTGAAATGTTGATGCCATCCTTTCTAAGGGAATGTTCCACTCTGCTCAACTCAAATTCCAAGCTACTTTCTCACTGAAACTTTCCCAGAAACAGTTCCCCAACCAGAGTTAGTTTCCTTAAGTCAAGATATGACTATACTGATGACCTTAAACAATAATCGATGATCCTATTATATTAAACTACAAAATTCTTTTTTTTTTTTAAAGAATTGGCAATCTCTTTTTTTTTTAAAGTCACTTTTTTAAAAAAATATATTTATTTATACAAGCACTGGGTACAGTCAGAAGCATGGGAGGGTGAGAAAATTCACCAGAGCCAGAGCGGGGAGCAGAGCAGGCAGAAGGACCGAAGTACACTGCTGAGGGGAGCAGCGGGCGGCAGGAGAGGTCTGCGCGCCATGTGGGACCCTCGATGGCGGCCAGGGATTGAACTAGCGCTGCAGAGGCTGCGGGCAGCTTCGCAGCCCAGCGCTCAACCGCTGCACCACCAGGGGAGGCCCTAAACTACAAAATTCTTAGGAGTAAAGAGTATGTCCTCTAATGATGCCTCCCCAGTCCTCACATACTTAATTGTGCAAAAAAAGGTTCTTGGATGAATATCAACTATGTTTAAATGCAAATTATTCATACACATACATATGAAAATATCACATATAAGATACTTAGAAAAAAGACTGTAAGAAAGAATGATAAAGTATTAGAAGTGGTGGCTTCTGGTTGGTGAAACTATAATGTTTTCTGTTTTCTAAATTGTTATGTACAATAGGTATAGGTCATATAATAAAGGCATGATATTTAATTTTAACCAAGTTATTAACTTACAGACAAAAATTTTAAAACTCATAACAAAAATGAATGAATGAATGAATGCAGTTACCACTTTTCACCAACCTTCCCACTAGCACAAAGAAGAGGCTCAATATTTTGTTTGAATTGAAAGTATTCTGTTGAGGGCCTCCCCGGTGGCGCAGCGGTTGAGCGCTGGGTTGCGAAGCTGCCCACGGCCTCTGTGGCGCCGGTTCGATCCCCGGCTGCTCCCCGGCCACCGGAGGAGGGTCCCACATGGCGCGCAGACCTCTCCTGCCGCCCGCTGCTCCCCTCAGCAGTGTACTTTGGTCCTTCTGCCTGCTCTACTCCCTGCTCCCGCTCTGGCTCTGGTGAATTCTCTCACCCTCCCTTGTTTCTGACTATACCCAGTGCATATATAAACAAAACAAACAAATAAATGAAACATGCCTCTATAAAAAAAAAAGTATTCTGTTGAACTGACTATTTGAAATGTCAAACCCATGCAGTAACAAAAATTCAAGAAAAGAAACTAGATATTGCCTGAAATAACTGAATTACAAGGCCTCCCTGGTGGCGCAGATGTTAAGTCTCAGTGCTATCAAGCTATCCCGTCGGCGACTGCAGCATGAGTTCCATCCTGGCCAGGGAGCTAACCCACATGGTGCAGCAGACCTCTCCCATCTCGCCCACTGCTTCCCTCAGCAGTGTATTTCTGTAGATACACCTGTCTGCTCCCCACTCTGTCTCTGGTGAATCCTCTCACCCATCCACACCTCTAGCCTACACCCCAGATCTTGTATGCATAAAAAAATAAAATCTTTTTAAAAAACTTACAAAAATCATAAATACAAATGATTTCTATTTCTAGGTCTTCTTTGCTGAGTATAGTCACTAGGAAATCTTCCTCTTACAGAATGCAGGACAAGAATGGTCACACCTTCAACTACTCAGTGAGAATGGGCAAGCTGCTTAATTTCTCAGAGATGATTTGTACCCTCTTACTAGGGGTAAGAAACACTTTGATGAGTTAAAATAGAGAGAAACTGTAAGAGTTTCAACCCTTGGAGTAGGCCATTTTAGATTCAGGTCTAATTTTATTAGGGGGAAGCTCTTGCCTTCTCCAGGAATGAGGCAGTTCACCATTTGCCAAGGTGCCCTGGCCCCACCTGATGTCCATTTGGAGTATTTTCAATGTTTCTGCCAAGCCTGAAGACTAAGAGCTTGGGTTGTTTTACTTACTCAGGTAGAAGTTATAAAACAAATCAAGGACAATCTCCTGTAAACTAGGAAGCATGTAAACTGGTACCTGAAGGACAATTTATAAAAGCTGTCAAGAACTTTATTTAAAAACGCACCCTCTCTGACCCACGAATTCCACCTCTGGGAAGGTCAATTAAGGACATACACAGAGACTCCATCTTAAAAAAGTGTTTCACCAAATTATCTGTAATGATGAAAACTTTTAAAGAACATGAATCATCCCTGGGCACAACGGCAAATCCACTGTAATCAATATTATGTAGTCATTATAAATGATATTATAGAAATACATTTACTGACATTAAAACATATTCACAATACACCAGTGGGAGACGCTTAGGTTACAAAATAGTATGTGCAGTAAGAACCATCATTGTTAATAGACAGTGACAGAGAGATACAGATATGGAAAGAAAAAGAACTCTGATACACATGAAAATGTTTAACAGTGGTTACTTCTGAGCAGTAGGAAAATGAGAGGTTGTTCTTTTAAATTGCCTGCATTTTCTGATGTTTTCCCTTCAATGGCCATATAATTAGAAATAATCCTTGTATACTTAGAGGTGATTCTAAAAATAAACAACCAAATTGTAAAGAGCCTTGGGAATTGAGAGCCTGTTGCATCTGTACCGGGGCCCTCACAAGCCCTAAGAAGTTCTCTCTGCTATAGTGTCCCCCTCTCAGAACCTCAGAGAAGGCCTGGGGACAACGGTTTTCTTCACTTCCAAGCCATTTATGCCATAGTGGCACCAAAGGATACACCACGTTCAGCGCGAGGAGGGCAGGTCAGAAGACAGTCCAAACCAGCGCCTGGGAGCCAGAATGCAAGCCCACCATCCCTCAATGATCAATAAGCTCAGGGGGCAAGCATTCCTGATCACTTACTTCTCCGGAAGGTGGTACCCCGCGCGTGGCCTCCTCGTAGGCGCCCACTCGGTCCCAGGTGGCTAGGAAGACGTGGGTGGGCGTGAAATGCGCCGCAGCTCGCGGGAAGCCCGCGCGCACGTAGCGAGCCGCCAGGCCCAGCACCGCGGCCGAGGTGTCCTCGCGGTACAAAACGCGGCCCCTGCCCTGGCTCGTGTCGATGTCAGCCAGGAAGGGCGCAATGGCCGGGAAGTCTGTGGGGAAATCATCGTCCACATACTGGGTCTCCCTGGGGAAGTCCTGGGTGGAGATGATGCCGTTGGTGCCCACCTGGGGGTGAGGGGGACAACAATGTGAAGGTCCCCACACTGCAGGAAACCCAAGGGCTGGTCCCCACGAGCACAGCCGTGCGCGCCCACTCTGTTCTCCAAGTAGGGAAGGGAACCCCCAGAGGCAGGAAACTCCCCCTGACCCACCCGCAGGGACCCGGAATTCTGGTACCCTGCACCTAGCCCAGCTTCAGCTGGTGTCCCGCGCCCCCCACCACCGCTTCTAACCCGCAACTCGGTGCGTTCGTTTCAGGAGTCCTAGAACTCCTAACACATCTCACTTTCCGCACAACCCTGGAAAAAACCGCTAGATCCAGGGCGGGAACACCCATTCCTGCAGATGTACACACAGCCGTCTACCGCCCAAGAACCCCATCTTCTTTTCTGCCTGGTACGCTGAGGAGGCTGCCAACAAGCCTCTCCCCCATCCCCTCGAGGTAAGGGAAAGCAGCGGACCAGGCAGCAGCATCGGAGCCACCCCCGGGGCGCTCTGGGACCGTCGGGGGGCAGGCGACCTCGAGGGCAGCGGCTGAGCAGGAGCGACGCTGCATTAAGCCCTGGGAAAATACTGCGAGAAATTTACCAGGTCCTGCACCAGGAGGGGCTGGACTTACGTAGAGGTGGCTGAACTGCGCTTCGTAGAAGTGGAGGGGAACCGCCAGCTTCACCGCGGCGGAGCTCTCGTCGTCCCCCTCCTGCAGGAGCTGGTCCCCCAGAGACTGGCCATAGGGGAAAAGCTCGCTTGAGGGCAGCGCGGCAGCCCGGGAGGGCAGCAGCAGCAGCAGCAGCAGCAACGATGGCGACCAGGGCGCGGGCCGCCCGGCCGCGGGGCTCCTCCGCATGCTCGCTCCCCTGTGCGCTCCCCTGTGCGCTCCCCGCAGCAGAGCGCGTCCCGGCCCGGCCCGCGGGTGCACTGGCCTGGCCGCGCCAACCTCCAACCTGGATCCCCGCGGGCGCCCGGGCGGGGCGGGACTCGGGGTCCTCCGGGCGCGCTGACTGGCTGCGGCCCTCAGCCGGGGCCCAATCACCGGCTCTGAGAAAGTTCGACAGCGGCCGCCACATCTGGTTCTTGTTAAAAGATTTCTAAGGCAGCAGTTGCAGGAGCGGCTGGGCTGGCGAGGTAAAAGTGGCCGGCCCAGGCAATCCCGAGCTGCTGCTTCTCCTCTCTCTCTGCTCCCCAAGAGCTCCCAGGGTCACCCCCACCTCACTGTCGGGGGTGCCCAGTGGTCCCGGCGAGCCCCGCCCGCGAAGCCAAGAGGCACGCAAAGTGCGAAGGCGGCGGCGCTGCAGGAGATTATCTCAGCGCGCAGGAGGGGACCCCACCGCTGCGGGTGCAGCTGCTGGCTGGGGCGACGGGCCCCCGCCAGACTGGCAGGGCGAGGGTGTGGCGATGGAGTTAAGGTTTGCGTCGTGCCGTGCTGGCCCTCAGGCGGAAAAGCAAAGAGGCACTGTAGCCGGGGCAGCCTCCACGGCCGTCTCGCTCCACCAGAGACGCCCTGCGGAGAACTGCGCCCCGCTACCAATTCCGTCCCCCCGCCCTCCCCGAGAGGCTGGGGGCCCCCCCGGGGAGGACAGGGCGACCTGGGCAAAATACCCAAGAACACAGCTCACCTTCCCCCCGGGAAAACCGCACCTGGGAAGATCGGAAAACGCTCCTATGTGTGATTTGCTCGGCTTGGGGCGTTGGAGAAGCATCCCTTTTGGGGACCAAGCAAAAATGAGCAAGGAGCCCGGGTGGAGGTGACCGTGGTATCAGCGCTGCTGTGTGCGTCAAGCTGCCCTCGCTGCAGGCAGCTAGTGAAGGTGGTAACCTGAGACGCGTGGTGGAACTGGAAACACACAACCCCAAAACCAGCTGTGTGGGGGAACCCCATCCACCATAAACATCCCCTCTGCAAAGTGTCAGGAGCCGGATGAGATTTTATTGCCATCTTTATTACTAAGAGCTTGAAATTTCCCAGATAGTCTGTTTTCTCTCTTGAATCCCCCATGGGGTCCTTGGAAGCAAAGATATTTAAAAAGAAGGGGGAAAGCAAACCCTTAGTAATGCCTAAAGAAATGCTCAAAAGACAGATTTTCTTTTTGTGGGGGTGTCAGTTCCAGCTATGCAAATCCTTACGGGCACACTGGGAGGCTATCCTTTTTAAATTTTTGCTAGGATATCAGACTGTGAGACTGACACACAAAATGAAAACACAAAATGGAAAGTTGACCCAAAGCAGATTGCGGCTTCAGACTGGACAGACATTGTATATTTGGTGTTACAAAAATGTACTTGTGCTTGCACATATATGGTCTCCTTTCTTTGAGGGACGAGTGTTTTCATTTTACTGAGGAGGAAATTGCTCAAAGGTCATTGGTGCCTTGGCTTGACCAAGGTCACCTAAAGTTTCTCCTTGATATAAAACCTTTACTGGTTCTCTGACTTCCAGATTTCTCAAGTGAACATAATAGTAGCTTCCATTTATGGAGTGGTAATAAATCTATTACCTATAGTGGCCCCCACGAAGAGCTATATCCAGGTGTTCATCCCCTTGTATGAGTCCCTCTCCTGGAGTGATGGCTGACCTACTGACTTTTAACCCATGTGGCAATAATGATGACAAGACACTTAAGTGAAAGACTCCATCAGTCTTGCCAGCTGACTCACTGTCTCTGATGAAATGAGCTGCATGTAGGGGAGACCCACAAGATAAGGAACTGAAGGCAATTTCTGGCCAATCATCAGCAAGGAAGTAAATTCTGCCGAAACCACGGAAGTTACTTTGGAAGTGGATTTCCACCCCCCCCATTCATCTTGAGATGACCCCCCTTTGCCCTAGCTGACACTTTGCAGCCTCATGAAAGACCCTGATGCAGAGGATACCTATGAAATTGGGCCCACCTGGACCCACCCAGACCCGGGATTACAAACCCTCAAAGAATGAGAATTTAATAAATATGTGTTGTGGTTTTAAGCTGTTATAGTTTGGGATAATTTGTCATGCAATCATAGATAAGTGATACAGCTAGACACTGTGCAAAGGAAATTAAGGGTTAGAGGGCTTAAAAGAAAAATCCATTATGTAATATGGCTGCTAAGTACCAAACCTGGGATTAGAACTCAATTTTGATTCCTAAACCTCTGTTCTTCAGTACTGAATCATGTTGCCCCATGACCTGTTGCATAGCTGTAGCCTATCTCTAACATCAGCTCTGACCACAGCCACCCCTCAGCAAAGATTGGCTCTCAAATACAACATCCTATTTTACAGTTTGAAACATGCTCACATGCTAGTCCCTCTATCATGTTTTCCCAATCAGTCTCATCAAGCCAATGTTTACTCCTGCTTCAAGACTTGAGTGACAAACTTTCTCCTTCAGGAAGCTTTCCTGGAAATCACCCTCTGGTATAAATCCCTCTTTCCTTGTTCCATGTTTCCTGTGCTTGCCGTTATCATATCTCTAATCCTGTATCTCCCATAATCCCTGATCCTCGCCTGTACCCTTACTACATCACTGTCTCTTGAGGGCAGGGCCTTTGTCTATTTATTTGCAAAGCCAGCCTGGTTCATTGGAAGCTTAAAGAAATGTTTGTTGAGTGAGTACAGCCAAATAAGCCAACCTGGAGTTCAGATCCAATTCTGCTGGCTCAAATGAAACATTCTTTCCCTGACACCACCTTTCCTGCTAATCTGACCTGAGTTTTATAATCCTCTTTACCAGGCTGCCTAGCAACTCACCTAGCACTGCTCTCTGGTTTTGGTCATTCTCATCCATTCAACAACTATTTCCCTGCAAGTTTACCAGGACAGACACAACTCTGCAAGAAATAACTGAGCACAAGATGTGACCCCTGACCTGAGGGAGCTCATGACTTGGTTGAGAAAACAAAGTATAAATATGAAAAAAAAAAAAAAGGAGCAACTGTGCAACACAACATGCATTAAATAGCAAAACAGGCAAAAGGGGGCCTTGAATTAAGAGGATATCACTGTTTTAATCGATGCTATCTGAGTACAAAGAAGTAGATCCAACAGGGAAGAGGCTGAAATGAGCAGTCCTTGATCCTGGGCTGCACAAAGTGGCCGAATTCTCCTTGAAATATGAGGCTTTGGACAGCTGTGCCTGAGTAGACATTCCTTTGAGCTCTTATTCTCATACTATTTTTAAATGACGTTACAGCACCAAAAGAGTGGTTTCTCCTTTAAAATGTCACTTTGTGTCTTGGGGAAAAGAAAAAATCTGTCATAGTTATTTCACTGGTCAAAGTAAATACTGAAGAAATACTTCTCTTGTATCCACAGTTCCAGAGTAGAATTTCCGTGACCTGCCAGACTGGCTAATGAAACAGAGAGGCCCCTTTCAGGCTGGGGGTTATGAAGGACTTCTTCTGTAGTGGTATTTATCCCTCTTCGTTGGTTCTTCACAGTAGACCTGAGCATTGCTTGAGAGGTAAGATTGCTTAGATACAAGACTTTTCAACCCAAGCCAGAGATGGTACCAGACACCTTGTCAACACACTTTAGCTATGTTTCTGGTATAAATACCAAGACTTCAAGAATGATGATACATCCTGTTATTTTAATGAAGGGAATGAAAACACATTTGCTCCATATTGTGGCAAATAGATGTTGGTATTCAAGAGCAAGTTCTATGAATAGCATTGGCTGGTGTGTGTACATGTTTGCACTGGAGGTGGGCTTGGCAGAAAAATGTCCTGGTTCTTGTTGTACACAGTGATTCTTTGCATAACTTTACTAGCCATTAAATCCCAGGGTGGGTATGCTAGCATGTAGAAAAAATAGAGTTGTAAAAATTAGCATGTCTCCACAGGCTTCATTGAAATTATGTTAGGTCTAAGAAAAACCATGCACTGCTCAGAAATTCTTAGTGCTGGGGCCTCCCCGGTGGCGCAGCGGTTGAGCGCTGGGTTGCGAAGCTGCCCGCGGCCTCTGTGGCGCCGGTTCGATCCCCGGCTGCTCCCCGGCCACCAGAGGAGGGTCCCACATGGCGTGCAGACCTCTCCTGCCGCCCGCTGCTCCCCTCAGCAGTGTACTTCGGTCCTTCTGCCTGCTCTGCTCCCCGCTCTGGCTCTGGTGAATTCTCTCACCCTCCCGCGCTTCTGACTGTACCCAGTGCATGTATAAACAAAACAAACAAACAAACCAGCAAACAAATAAATAAAGCATGCCTCTATAAAAAAAAAAAAAAAAAAAAAAGAAATTCTTAGTGCTTGGGACATATTTGGAGGTCATTAAAATATAGGGTGTCCTACCTACAAGCCAACAACCTCCAAATATATCTAAGCCCTAAGCCTTCAACTGAGTTTTTAATTTATACCCAACTTGCTGCTGAACATTCCCTGGGGATGACACCTCAAACCCACATCCAGGAAAACTAGATCCAATACTCAGAACTTTGGAGTTTTTATTTCATTTAATGATAACAATATTCACTTCTTTTTTTTTAAACTATCATTTCAGAGATTCCTCATCTCTCACCTGCTCGTTTTTGTAGGCCAAATCTATAAATTAAGAAATTGTTGTGTTTCCAGCTTCCCTTGAAGCTATTGTGGCTATCTAGTCCTGGTCCTGACCTAAACGCCGCGCCCCCCCCCCCAAGTTTGCCTAAAGTCTGGTGCTTTCTGGGAGGGTTTTAACATTGGTGATTTAGAGGAATTGATGCATTTTTTCCATTATTTATACCTTAAATATGAATGTGATATTTTGAACAAAGAGCCACCTTCTGATGGCTCAGTGACAATTATGAGGACAACAGTATGACAGAACAAATAGACAGGAGATGAAAGTCTGATCCCAGGACTAACTGCTGGCATCTATACATCTGGTTATATGGGAAAGCAAACCTGTTGGCTTATGCCACTGTTATATACAATGATACCCACTC